ATTTTTCATAAATTATTCAAAGTCATATAACAAAAGTGTTACATCTGGGGAGAATGCATATTTATTTCTGAAGTTGCATACATTTTTCTTTTGCTTGCACCTAAAGAGAGTTCTGTGATCTGGTTCATGATATATGACATTTTTATTTCTTAGAACTGCAGGATTGTATTTTACCACAGTTTGTATTTCTATCACTTATATACATTGAGCCAATTAAAATGGAAACCATGAAACATCACCCAGTTGTTTGTCCATAAATAAGTAAAACTTGTACATATACACATATGTCATTCTTTCTGTATATGCTTTCTCATACTTCTTTAAAAAGTGAAGAAAAGAACACTTTGACAATAAAAGCACCAAAGAGCATTTAATATGCACAAGACTACTGAAATAAAATAATGTGTTTTTTGTTTGTTTGTTTTTGTTTTGGTATAAGGTATTTAACCACTGAGCCACATCCCCAGCCCCTTTTTATATTTTATTTACAGACAGAGTCAGAGTTGCTAAGTTTCTGGCTAAGTTGCTGAGGCTGCTTTGAACTCAAAATCTCCTGCCTCAACCTCACAAATTGCTGGGATTACAGGCATGCATAACCATGCCTGCCAAATAATGTTTATTTTATTTTGTTTTGTTTTAATGTACAACAAAATATTTAACTGTGAATTAGGCATACCTATTACCTTTGAGCATATACTTATTCACAGGTGTGCATATGACACACACTACAGACACATGGAAGTCGTGTTCAAATCTATAACACTTATAACTATAAATCTCTCACATGCTGTGTATCTGAGCAAGCAGGCCAATTCATGTGCCACAGAAAATCATAGTATCTACCTTCAGGTGCTTTGGGTATGTTTGAACTTCTCAATTCTCAAATCTCTAGTTGTCAAAGGATTTTTGTTTGTTTGTTACATTTTTCACTTTCATCATGTTCTGTCTTATACTTATTTTTCTCATTTATTAATGTAGAAAAATGATATATTCAATTACTTTGTGGCTAAGATAAATGGGTATGTGGAAACAAGAGGGTGCTAAGGGGAAAGGTCTCTGGAATTTCCCTTCTCCCTGCACCTGGCTCTGTCTTCTACAATTCCATCTACTCACAGTGGTCATTGGACATTTCCTCATACTCCAAACTCTTCCCCTTCCTAATGTTTTTCTCATGGTGGTTCCTGTCTCTGAAGACTCTTCCCAGGCATTGGCCTGGGTAGTTCTCCTGCTTCTTCCAAGACTTAGAATAATGTCCCTAAGTCAGGGAGGTCTTCCCTGCCTCTAGGGTATATCAGGTCTCCTGCCTTACAGCACCTTGTCTTCTGAATATAAAATGCACAGTGTTCATGAGTGCAGATTCATTTGTGGATTTATAAGTACAATACTGTCTCTCATAGAAGACAAGTAGCTCCATAATAGAGGGCTTCTATTTTTACTGCTGTTATGCAGCACTCAGCATAATGCCTAGCCCTGAAAATGGTAGATGCACAATAAATATTTAAGGAAGGGAAGGAGGGAGGGAGAAAGGAAACAAGTATAAAGATGAAAACAAGAGAAAAGGCAAGCCAGGAAAAAAAAATGCTGGTAGTAACTTGTAAAAGGAAATGAAGGATAAAAAAGAAAAGGCATACAATAGAACAAAGATAGAAAATAAAGTATTACAAAACTGTGGAAACAAAAGTAAAAAGAAAGCATAAAATAAAAACAAAATGATCACTGATGACAGTACAGCCAATCTAGCATTTTTCCATGAATATCAACTAGAACCAGACTGAATCAGGATTGTGACTGTCACCAATGAAAAACTGTCATACTGATGTCTCCTTCTAATGCATGCATTGGTTTATAGACCTAAACTCCTTGAGTCAGCACCACAAATCTGACTAATGTTCTCTAGAGCAGCATTTGCCCTTTAGGCTTCTGATTTAGCTGAAAGATGTGTAAAATTCCTTGTAGCTAGTTACCTTGATATTGATTCCACATCTGTGAGGTTCATGGGCTCATGTTTTTTCTAACTAGGGTCAGCATTACCTTAAGCCCCGGGCTCTGATGCTGAGCTGCCTGTATTAGAGGGCATAACATAAATTCAGGTTATGCCTTGGTCGCTTCTACCTTTTACTGCTGGTGTTTTTGTAGATGAATATGGAATACATTGATCCAAAGTTCTCTGCTGGGAAATGAATGTCTGTCAGTGAATTTTGGGCTAAGGCCAAAACCTGGTGCCATCTCTCTCTTGTCCGTTAGCAAAGCCAAGCCTTGTCAGAGGGCATTCCTAAATGAATGTAGGCAAGAGATATGCAGGTGTGAATGCATCCTACCTTGATATCATTGTTTAAACTTGTGAACTGACTCTCCCTGCCACATTCTTGATCCTCTTTTGCCTGCTCTACACTTTAATTGTACTTAGCACCTCTTAACATATTTCATAGTTTGTGCCACTTCTTATTTGTATACACAAACCTAGATTGTGTGCTACAAACCTAAACTATATAGTACATATAGATGTGTATATATATATATATATATATATATATACACAGACACATACATATATATATATATATATATATATATATATATATATATATATATATATAGATGCCTATTACTTGTAAAGTTATAAGGAACAAAACATTACAAAACTAAATCTAGCACAAGAGAAAGCAATGCTATCAAGAGACATAGGAAACAAAATGTATGAGGCTATTACCACTGTGACATGCTGTTCTATTTTATAGTAAAGCATTTTATAAGTAGAAGAGGAGTACTATAAAATAATGTTTTAAAGTTTAGTAACATCATCATCTTATCATTACCAAGTATTATGTACTGTACATATCTTCATATGAATGGCCAGGTCTGTTTATGCCATCATAAAGTAGTTCTGTTGTGCTATCACACTATGATAGAGACATTGTCACTAGGCAATAAGAGCTTTCTATCTCTGTTATAATCTTATTGGACCACTCTTGTTTATGTGTTCCTTTCTTAACCGAAGTGTTGTCATGCATCACATGAATTATTTACTTCTCCATCCGTTAGAACATCAGCGAATGAGGCCAGTAATATAATCTGTTTTGTTCATTATTATAGTTCAAACACCAAGAATAATGCCTGACACATAATAGGCACTTAATTCAAATTTTTTTAAGTAATGAATGAATGAATGAAAGTCAATATTTTGTATTGTGGAAAGTAAAGAAGTTATTCCAAAGATATAAACACTGGGATCCTTGTCTTTGAAGATATGGTTTCTCTGAAACAATAAACATACACTTAGGAAATTGGGTAATAACACCTATGAAATAGTAAACATTATAAATGCAATTAATGAATGCAATTGAACAATATGAAAGGGAGCTTACTGTGGCAGTAATAACACTAGATTTGGAAAACACTGGGGCTGAATCCAGCAGCTACATAACCTCAGGCATGACATTTAAATTTGTAGAGCATGAGAGCACTTGTTACTATGAATTAATAATAATGCTCTTCTCATGGGATTCTTGTGAGAATAAAGACAGAAAACAAATGTAAAAGTAGCTGGCTAATGACATTTACTCAACAAATGTCTCTTGAATGTATGGACTTTCTTATTTACAAATAAGAAAAGGCAAGTAGAGTGGTTAGCTTACTTGCCCCGGATCAATCAGTTAACATCAACCCTAGGACTCTGGATTCTCAGCCCAGTGTTACTGAAAATAGAACATAATGCCTACTCTGTCCCTGTACTTTATTCCTATGAGCAATTCTGTTTCTCACACATAACAAAAATTTATTATTTGTTCTAGAAAAGGAGCATCATTTCCCTGAAACACCCTCATTAGGCTCCAAGATGTCTAAGCTCTGTCTCCCTTTAATCGGTTTACTTGTGAAGAAGCAATTTGCTTTACGACCTCTTTGTAGAGTCTGAAGGGTTTATGACCATGTGGTGTCAACATGGAGCTCTAAGATGCTTTCAGTTCCATTTACTAGCTTTGGAGTCTTCAAATTGTACGAGCCTATTTGTTCTGAAAAGACTGGAGTTTGGACATTAATTCTGAACACCCTCTTACTTTTAAGCTTACTGTCAAATGGAGCAGCCACTTGTCATGTTCTACCCTACAACCAAAACAGCATCCAAAATGACAGTATGATTAGTACCAACATGATGTCACTTTAATAAAACATTATCAACTTGTCTTATCACAAGGCTCCAAATAGGCTATGTGGCCATACTTTAGTCAATCTCATAAACTTTTTTTTCCTTTCATCTCATAAACTTTTTGTTAGCGGAAATAAAGATTTCCAGGGAGTTAACAAATGCATTGGCTCAACATAGACCTGCAGTACTGAATCTATGATGGAGATGGAAAGGGAAATCCTTATTTTCAAATGTATAAATTGAGGCAAATATAAATTAGGTAAGAGACTGTCTAAAGGCTCAGAGATGTCAAATCTATTCATTCAATTAATTCTGCATGAATCCTAAATTATGTAATAGAGTCCTGCAATAATGCTAAGAGACAGGGCAGGAGATAAGACAAATAAAACTCATTCTCAAACATTCAGAATGGTATGGTTGTTGTAGATAGCTCTCGAGTGCACACTCCCTCTTGTCTCTGCCATAATCTATTTCATTTCCCTTCCTTTGAGGATCAGATGGAGGGTTGTTTTTTTTTCCTGCTTATTCATAAACAGTTCATTTGGGTCAAAATCCCAATGCTCATTGTCCCAAATTTTTTTGTCTCAATTTCTATAGCCCTAAAATTAAGATTTTCACTGGTCTCACCCATCTTTTGTCCTGACCAGGCCACCATATGGCTGGAAACCTTGGGGTAAGTTGGGCCATGTGGGAAGCAGGGCCTAAAGTGGAGGCAGTTTCTGCAGAAATCTGGAGCAGAAAGTGGTAAACAGATCCTCCATGGGTGAGAGCGATGCTTGCATATTAATTCCAGAATTAATCCACTTCTCCTCATCAATGCTATCTTATTTCAGCTGAAGCTGTAGCCATCACTCACCTTTATCTGTATATTCTCTCTTATCAGTTTTCTCCATGTCCAGATTCTTCTCTTCTGAATACTTCCCAGCTACAACCAGAATGATTTTAGGACATAATTCCTCTGCTGAAAACTCCAGTGGCGCCTTGTTTCTTCCTCAGAGAGAGACAAAGTCCAAATTCTTCAGTGTTCTCACTCCTCTTTGTTCCTTGCACTCCAAACCCCCTACCATGCCTTGGCTCAAACTCCTTAGTTATTGCTTAAGGACACTAGATTCTTTGTGGGCTTGAAGACTGTTTTCTGTTTCTTCTTGTGGCATGTCCGACTTTTGTTCTTTAGATTTAAATAGAGACATCATTTTTTTTTAAAGGCTTCCTTGATTTTTCACATGCAAGGACAGTTACTCTAGATGCATTCCTATTCTTGCACACAGTATACCCTATTGTTATGGGCTGTTTACTCTCTTGTGCCCAATCACCAGAATGTCAACAGCCAGGTGAAATTCATTGTTTCCTTAACTTACCACGGAGCCTACACATAGGTGCTCAGTGAATATTTCTTGACTGAATAAAGGGGAATACAAAAGCACATCACAGACACCTACAATCACTTCTAAGTTCTAACCTTTTGCTCTTATGTGGTCAATAGACACTGTCTGATAATGTTGATCTTTTTTTCTGTAGTATTTTGACAAGCTAAAGCAATCCCAAGGGGACCCTCACTCTTCCCATACCTTACAAATCTAGACTGTTCAAAAGATATGACAGTATTACCCACATGCTTTCCCCTATAATAGACACAGTAGTTGCAAAACACATTACTTCTCTCCTTTCCTGGTACCCACTCTTAGACCTGACCCCTAGCACCAAAGTGATAGAATTGGCTGGTGTTTAGATACATATGTTAGCAGATATGTCTCTGAGTCTACAAGTCTCCACTGTACTTCTAACAAGTGGCTCAGTGGTAAAGTGCTTGCCTAGCACATGGGAGGTGCTGGGTTTGATCCTCAGAACAATATAAAATAAAAACAAAAACAAAAACCTAAATAAAATAAAGTTATTATGTTCATCTACAACTAAAAAATATTTTTTAAAACCAAGGAAGTTAAAGTCTTCAACAATTAATGTAACTTTACCTTAATAAATTGTATCATATCACCATACAACCTCCACAAGGTCATGGACTGGAAAAGCCAAACTTACTTAGACTAGGAAAGAAGCATAATTTCTCAAGGCATTAAAAATATCACTTTTTAAAATATCTGCCAAATGGAGCTGATTATAGCTCTTTACTATGTCAGCTTCTACCAATTATTTGAGGAATATTAGAACCTTCTTAGACTTACAAATAGGGTCCTCCTATTCACTCTATGTCTATAGGTTACCCATCTAGAATATGCTTAACACACGTGAAACTGTCCTTAAGATTGACAAGTCTTCACAAGAAGACAAAAAGCTAGCCAGATATAGTGACACATGTCTGTAATTCCAGTGACTCAGAAGCCTAAGGCAGGAGGATCGCAAGTTTGAGGCCATCCTGGGCAATATAGCAAGAGCCTGTGTCAAAAATAAAAAGAGCTGGGGATGTAGCTCAGTTGTAGAACACCCCTGGGTTCAATCTCCAGTAAAACACCCCCCCCCAAAACACACACACAGAAAAGATCCAAAAAATTTTAATTTTTCAGCTGTCCCAGAAACAAACACAATCTGATTAACATGAATGAATCTATACTAGTTTATGAGACAAAGTTGTAACCAGCATTTAAATGTATTAGTCTTCTCTTATGATCTTATGGATGCGCCCAGATTCCCAGAAAAGCAGCCACTTATCTCTGAGCTTGCATTACCTGGCCCCAGGCCCTCAGCCAGTTGTCTATTACCTTATGGTAACAGCATGCAGCCAACAAGCAGAAGCAATTTGCATGAGTTGAGTATTTGAATGTTATTCATGCTAAAATCAGGTTAGATATTCTATTTTGTTTTTAAACTGAAGCTTTCAAATACTGGATTTTCTTTTTCCTCTTTGAATTTGAATTCAGTTGTTTTTAAAGAAATGCATTCTATCATCATTGGGTGTTGTTTCACTAAATTCTGATGGGAGGTTTTTCTGGAAATGAACATCTCTCTGATTCAGTGCTTCCTTTTTTATAGTCTTTTTAAAAGTATTTTTAGTTGTAGTTGGACACAATACTTTATTTTATTTATTTGTTTTTTATGTGATATTGAGGATTGAACCCAGGGCCTCTCATGTGCTAGACAAGCGCGCTACTGCTGAGCCACAACCCCAGCCCCAGTGCTTCCTTTTATATCTCAGTTTTTACTCACACAGAGCACACAACGATGAGGCAGCCTACCTGGCTTGTTCCTGGCACCTTGTCCTGTGCAAAAGTAGAAACAACTGAGACATTATGTTTCCTAAGAAGAGAACTCTGCAGAGTGAGTGATCATACTTAGTTTTGTCTATTATTTATTTGCTCTCTGTTCCCAAACTAAAACCATACTTACAGGTGATGAGTTCTGAAAAATGTTAACTCACATCAACATAAATGGAAAGCTACGTACATACAAAAAGAAAAAAGAAATAAAATGAGTTAATTTTGTCTCAGTCCAGAAGAGTATTTTTGCTAATTTTTTTGTTCGCACTTTTCAGCCAAAATGCATCTTCAAAATTAAGTAGACAAGACAGAATTTGTATTTGAGTAGCCTGTGCTCATTCTTCAGGCATCTTGGTTTTTCTCAGATCCACCACTGACAATTTTAGCCTACCCACAGAGTACTACATATGTATCTACTTAATCTGTTTTATGAATTTAGATCTTAGCAAGCAAAAATACTCAGAAATTCATTTCTTTCTAAAAACAAGTACCTTTTTAGCCCAAAGTGTAATATGCCTTTAAATATTTTGAAAAAAAAAAAATCTCTCATATTCCCAAAGTGACCATAATGCTACTCATTTCTTGGCTCTCTAAACCTGTCTTTTCCTATCACCACTCTAGGGGATTTAATCTCTCAAAAATAAATCTATAATCTTCTAATGACCATTTTCTATATCTCTTCTCCTAAACCCTACTGAAGAGTTAGCACAGAAAATTATCATTTCACTTTTTAAACAATCTACCTTCCTAGCAACTGAAATGCTGAGATAAGCTTGCTTTGTTTTATCTCCCTACCACTTTTTCTCCATCTTCATGAACTTCTTTCTGCTCTTGAGCCAGTACTGGGTATAACCCAAAGTTCCTTTCTCAGCTCTGGCCTTTCTGCTCTTCTCTCTCACATTTTCCCCTCCACATTGTTTCTCTTTCAGTGATGCTTTGATGCTGATAGTTATCAGCTTAAAAAATTTTCCAGACTGGTGATTCTCAGTCCCAACTGCTTGCTGGCAACACCATCTGTGTTGATCCACAGAACTACTGAATTCAATGTGTTGATGAATAAACTCATTATTGTGCTCTGAAAAATCTGTTCTTCATCTAATATTTCCCATATCTCTTTATTACACAGCCTTCTTTTTGTTAAAACAAGTAGAAGCAATGTTTTATTCTTCCTTTCCTGTGTTAGAATTCTTGCTAATTGTTTCATTCAACTTCTCATTCTGCTGTATTTGCTATACACCTAGCATGTGCCAGGCATTGTGCTATTTATATAAATATAGTGGTATTCACAACAGACAGTGTCTCTACCTAACATTGCTACAGTTGAATTGTTGTTCTAGGGTCGTAAAGCCTTTCATGTTTGTTTACTCAGTCTCCACTGCCACAAAGCCAATTCAAGGACACAATTATTTCTTACTTATAGTGTAATAGCCTACTAATTGATTTTCTATTTCAATCTCATCTCTGTCTAATCCCTCAGGGACGTGGCTGTAATAGTAATCTGTTAAAAAAAAAACATAAATTATACCTATTCAAAGTCTTTGGCTATTTGTCTCTCCTACCAAATAACTTTAAATAAAATTATCATGGTTGATCAAACTCTACCATATCATGTGCTTTTTCTAAGCTTATTTCTTGCTACCCATGAATGCCATGACTTCATAAAAATATTATATACAATTCCATAATTTTCTGCATACATATCTTTACCAGTGTTCACTCTCCCATTTGGAATTCTATTTACTATACTCATTGACCCATTTCCCAAGCACATTGCTTGGAAATATTCCCCACAGGCCAACATGAAGAGGGCCCAGTATTTCAGAGTACTCTGAAGCATATGAAATATATACAAATATACATGCTATATATGTACACACATATATACATGATATATATACACACATATATAACTTAAATAATATATGATTATTTTAGAATATATATTATTTTTAAAGAAGAAGAAAATTAAAATAACTTACATGAAGTAAAAAAAATCCTAGAAAGACAACAATTATTGCAACTGAATAAGAATAACTAGAAAAAGTGAACAGATCTATGGTGAGTGAATATATTTAATTATTCTTTTTCAAACTTTCCACAAGAAAAGTCCAGGCCAAGATGGTTTTATGGGTGAATTATGTAAAACATTTAAAGAAAAGTCAACATCAATTCATGAAAAACTCTTCCAGAAAACGAAAGATGACAGAATACTTTCCAATTTATTATTTGAGACTAATATTATTTGACACCAAAATGATACAAAGAAATTATAAGCAAACTACCGACAAATATCCTTTAGGAATATAGGTACAGGAACTCTAAATAAAATACTAGAAAAACAAGAATAAGAACATATATAAATGATTATACATTCTGTGCAAATGAGGCTTTTCAAAAACATTAAGAGTGGTTTTGTCATGTGAAAATCTCTGTAATAGATTCTGAGAGAATAGATGGCACAAATTGTATGATGCTTTTAATAAATGCCAGAAGAACATTTGACAAAATCCAGTCCCCTAACATGATACAAACACTCAAATTAAGACTAGAATGATTTTTTTAAATCTGATAAACTCATGTTTGAAAAATCTACAGCTAACATCATACAGAGTAGTAAAACACCAGGTGCTTTCCCCCTAAGAGTGGGGATAAGACAGAGGTATTTACTCTTGCTACTTCTATTCAACATTATACTAGAATATCTAGACAGGACAATTAAAACTATATATCATCCATATTTGAAAATAATAAATAAAATCATGCC